TTACGACATGTAATCACACACACACAAATCTCATAATGTTTTAAGTAAATTTGCGATTTTGTGTTGGGCCACATTCATAGCCATCCTGAGAACCATGTGGCCTGCAGGCCACGGGTTGGACACCCCTGGGAGGCATCAAAGAACTTTGTAGACTCTAGTAACTGACAGAGTGCCAGTGTGGCTGGAGTGGAGGAGAGACATGATATTAAGGAGAAAAATCAAGCCTTGTATACCTCATGTTAATTGTGTTTTATTTTAGTTGAAGTAGTAGAGGACATACGTGAATTAGATATTTAAAGAGGGGCCATACTTTGTCACTAGAAGTGAAGGGTCACCGGGGAGAAAAAGACATGGAAGTAGAGGGACTAGTCTAATTAGGGTACAAAGGGAGGAACACTGGGAACTGGAAGCAATTAGCAGTTAATTTTTGTTAGCAGTGATGGTACAGGGATGATAACTAGGTATAAATAATATAGTAAAGAACATGGGCCAGGTGATGGAGGGCATTGAATTCTAGGCAGAAAAGTTCAGACTTGGGTACATTGGTATGCAATTAAAAATCCTTCAGGTTTTGGATAAGCATAGTGATGGATAACAGCTGTGTTTTGAGCATATTGCCCCAACAGGTTTGGAAAGGGTGACAGTGAAAAGGGAGAAAGAGAGAGAGAGAAGGGGAAGTGTGGGGGGGGCAGAGAGAGAGAGAGAAGGGGGGGGGAGAGAGAGAGAGAGAAAGAGAGAGAGAGAGAGAGAGAGATGAAGGACTAAATGGCATATAACATTTTTATTCAATTGGGAGATGCTAATAAAAACCTAGATGAGCAAGACAAGGAAGGCTTGAATGTTGCTCATACATAGTAATCACTCAGTAAATATTAGCTCTTATTAATTCAGCTTCTTTTAAAACAAAGAAAAAAATAGCTCTTGATAGGTACAAAATGTATCTCATATGAAAGCAAACTTTTTCTCCTCTTAGCTCTTGTAGCATTTCCTAGAGACCTTCACATGCCAGCTACATTCTGTGGTACACTGTGATTGTTTAGAGATAAGTACAGCTCAGCAATGGACTTTGTCTAGACTTCTAGAAGACAGATACTAAGGGAGATATTTATTTCTACATCTTTCATATCACCTTATGTTCAGTAGGCTCTTAACAAATATGGGCTTCTTCCTGCAGTTATTCAGTCTGTTCTGAACCCCAAGGACCCCAGATTAAGGGATTTTAACTCCTTTGAGATTTGACGGGAGTAGTAAACTTACACTTTTGAGGCAGTGGCAGGTGGCTCTGCATCCTGCACAAATAGGGCTAAATCTTATCTTTATTTAATGAGGGGGAAGTGAAACCTCCACTTTGTCACTGAACATTTGTCAGTATTTCCTATTTCTAAGAAAAAATGGCTGCTTACCTGGTTTTGATTTCCCTATTGACTTCCACTTTTCAATTTCTTACGCTCAAATATAATGAAGCAGTCTATAAAACCCAAGATCAGGCTGAAGACCGAAAAAGTTATCTACTCTAGAGGTCCTGAAGCTGGGATCCAGGTATACACATCCACAAATGAGCTTGACAAATGAAATGCCAGGCAAAACTTTGTGAGTATATTTGTAAATATATTTTTCAGTAGAGAGAGGGTCTATAGAAATTATGAGGTTCTCAGATAGATCTATAACTCCAAAAATATGATCCAGTGCTTATCAAGCCATCGTAATGGGACAGCTAAAAAGGAACCATCACATTGTCTCATTAAATGTCCTTGGAAAAAGGTCCCATCTAGATCACCCAAGATCTACAGACAGGAAGTTCCTTCTTAAGTCTACCCTAATTCTTTGGCACCTCCTCCCCATGCAAGTCCTTGGTAAATTCAGTGGAAAAAGCTAACAGCTGCTCACCAACACCCACCCCAAAGAAAGAACAAGACATTTCTCACATATCTCAAGCTGCTTTAAATGTTCTTTCTTTGGCAAAGAAGAAAAAAAAAGGAAGTATATTTTTGGCCTCTAAACCTTTTCCCACCCATGTGTATTTCTGCAGAAATGTTATCCATATGGTTCCGATTGCTTTCTTCATAATTCATTAGGAATGTTTTGCACTGAGAACTTCTCTGATGACCAAGGAGTCTTTGGAGACTTTTAAAAATGGCCCTCTTAGCCTTTCTTCATAGAGACAGGGAAGTTAAACAGAGCCAAATGCAAATGAACTAAGACCTGAAAAGGTTGGGGTTTTATGCAAAACTCAAGCCATAAGGCTTGGGTAAGTCTTACATCTGTCCATGCAAAACCTTCACTTCCTCCTGCAGGCATAAGGGCTGATAAATACTCCACTGGCACAGAAGATGCAATCAATGGTCTCAGCCATTTAAGTTGATATTTGGAGTTGGGTGTGATGACCCCATTAAAATCCTAAGCTTTTCTAATCACCCTAATGCTCCTCCATTATTTCTAGAGGACATAGTAAAGAGTTTGGACTTAGACTTGGGTGTGGAAAATCTGAATCCGTAATCTACTAGCCATCCCTTGGCTTGCTACTCAAATTTTCCAAGCTCCAATTTCCTATGATGTAAAAATGGGTTTGTATCAGCTACTTCATACCTCACAGCATTTTGAGATGTATAATATAGGGAAGCTCCAAATTAAATGCCTGGTGCATGATAAAAGTTCAAAAATTCTCTCTTTCCCTCTTCTCTTTTTCTCTAACAAGAGTTGGAACTGGGAAGGGTTCCGTATTTCTTGAGGGAAATATTAGCTGTGTGGGGTGGAGGAGAGGAAGATAGGAAAATATTCCTTAGTGCTAAGTCTTCTCTTTCTAAGGCATCTGGACCACAGCCCATCTTGGGAGACTGATTAAAACAGAAGAGCTAAGAAGAAATTAGTCATATCTTGGGCCTCCTCCGAAGCTGCCTAAATAGGTTGTTTCAGACTGATTTCAAAACTACATTCCCAGCAGGGCTGCTGTGCCTACTCTCACTCAAAGAGAGATGATGCAGAGACCGAGAGAAAAGAAGGAAATAATAAAGGACAAGATGGGGTAGAGAAAGATGAGAGAAAAGGCAGGGGAGAATGGATAAAGGAAGGAGGGAGGAACAGGAGACGTCAACTTGGGGCGGCATACGGACATGGATGGGGAGAAGCAGCGTTTGTGGGGAGTGTATCTCTCTGTGGTTGGAATCAAAGTCCGAACTGCCTCAAGAACCTCTGCCCAGGATCTCAACCTGAAGTGGAGGGAAGGAGAAAATAGTCCAAGCAAAAAGGAGAAGTTTTTACCAGGCAGAGAGAGAGAGCGCGAGCGATCACTTCCTGGGTCAGTGGCTGGAGAGCTGTCCGTGGTGCTGATCACCCGTGATTTGGGTTAGAGTGAAGGAGAAGCAGAGAGGAGCCTGGAAGTGTAGCCCTACTGCTTCCTTCTCCTCCCGCCCCCACCCCACCCCCGTCCCGTGCTGCTGAGACCCAGGCTCATTCTGGTCAGTTCTCTGTTTCCTCCTCGTTTATGTCCTCCCTCCTCGCCAATTAAATAATTTTCTCAAGTTCTCAATTCCTCCCTCAATAACGTATCTTCTGTTTTGTTTCACAACTCCTCTCCCTCAGATTAACTCATCAGGCCCTAGATCCTTCTAGGCCTCCCTAGTTATCACATCTCCCTTATCATCCTTTGCCTACGAATAACGTTAATAACAATAGCAATTGTAATTACAGGTAACAGGCTTTGAGTGCTTACTGGGTGTCAGGAAGTATTCTAAGCCCTTCTACATACACTGACTCATTTAAATCTTACACTAACCATGTTAGGTAAGTATTTATATCCTCTTATTAGGCAGGTGAGAAATTGAGGCTTAAGAGGTAAGAAGTGTGACCAAGATCCCATAGTTACAGGATTCCAGCTGGTACAGAGCCTGCACTTTTACTGAATCCGGGTTCCTTTAAATTTCTCATCACTTTTCCCTTCTTGCTCCCTGTACCTCCACCTGGCAGCTTCGCTGTGGTCTCCTACCACTGCCTAAGTTTCCGGGGACGAGGAGTCTTCATTGCTGATTTAGTTTACATTTAAAAAGGATGCAAAGTAAGCAAACACACTGAATATGCACTGTGTGAGAATTCCGATTGTGTACTGGCCTTCTTCTCTGTTTCAGGAGGAGGCCCCGTGTCAGCAACTGCAGCCTGCATCCCTGGCTAAATTCCGTGTCTGTGGCTCTCTGTGTTAATACCCTCGCTCCCATCGTACTCTCGCCCCTTCCCTGCCTCTCGGTGGGAACTCGTCTTTGGCTTTTTACTTCGAATAGGCAGGCGGCCCCTTTGCCTAATTTCCCCTAGCAGACTATGCCAACGTTACTATAATACATGTGCTAACAACAATCCTATTCTTAGAGGCATACCACAACCCTGTCGTTCCTGAGCTTGTTCGATCGAGAGAACTTTGCGTCCCCTCAGCGTTCCACTCCTACATCCTGCCCACCTAGAGCAGAACCTGCTTAATTCTGGGAGGTTATGTGGGCTCACGCCTACACACACTGAGAAACAAACAGTCAAATACTCACAGAGAGGCACGTAGATACAAACAGACCCACACGGGCACCTCCCCAGACGAAATCACGCTCAGACGGATACAGACACACAAGCACCCGCATACCCAGAAACACGCAGATACTCGCGAAGCACACAGCCACAGACGCGCTTAAGGACACCAGGATGCGGGTTTCTCGGTGCCTTTCGGTGCTGACTCGGGGACACGCCACCCCGTCCCCAGACCCAGGAGACTCCCCAGTGGCCCAGCCTCAGACCACCCAGGCCGCCCCTCCCTGCAAAGAGGCCGCCCTCCTCTCTTCTTCCTCCTCCGCCTAAAGACGTACAAAACACTCCTCAGAATAAACCGGGGCTCTGGGCTCCTCCCTTCCCGCCCCCGGCAGCCGCTCCCCCATTCATTTTCGCCCGTCTCCGGGTAAGTCCCTCCCCCCGCGTAGCCCGGCCTCCCCAGCTCCCCGCCCTGAGACCGCGGCGCACTTGGACTTCCCTCTCCATTCGCTAGCCGCCTCGCTCCGGGTCCCCACGGCTGTGAACTGATCTGGCTGGGGGGGAGGAGGAAAGCTCCGGCGAACGAAAGAGAGAGGGAGGGAGAGCGAGCGAACCAGCGAGAAAGCCGCGGGGGCAGAGGGACTAGTGACCGCCTTCCGGAGCCGGGATTCATGCCTGTCCTCGGGACCAGCCAAGGGGACTTTACGGCTGAGTATGAGCCAGGCTGCTAGGAGCCAGGTACCCTCACGCCTGCAGTCCCCGCGCCGTTCCCGGTATGCGAGCTGGACGCAGGGCTCTCCCAAGTTCCCACCAAACCGAATAAAAAGCGTCCGCCTGCAGCTCTCCGCCAAAGACGGACATTGACTCCAGGTAAGGCGGTGCCGGGGCGCAGCGCCCCGCAGCCCATCTGCCCTTGGAGACAGCCCTGGGCCGCATCTGGGGCGCCCCCGCCCGCCCCGCCCCCTTCCCCCCAGCACCCTTCCTCTCTTCCCCTGCCTCCCGCCACCTCTAAGTCCTCTCAGGTTCCCGGGAAGGGGGGGTGCTCAGTATTCTGGGGTGCAAAGGGTTAAATGCGGCTTTTAGTAAGTGGCCTCTGTGCTCCCCCGCGCGCTCCCGACGTGTGTACCATGGTGGGAACTTGATGTGGTGCTCGTGTGTGTTTGCGTGTGCAGCGTCGCCTTTCGCGTTTGGTGCCTGTGATTGTGATGTGTGTGTGTGTGTGTGTGTGTGTGTGTGCGCGCGTACACAGGAGGGGTAAAGAGGGGTCCTATAACCTAGTTAAGACGCGATGTGTGCGCGCATGTTTGTACGTATGTGTTTGTATGTGTGCGTTGTGTGTCTTTTTAATTAGGTCTCCAGCTCACACGGAATGGGGTCCTTACTACAGGATCACACAACCATCGGGAAACCCGCTGTGGACTTCCTCTTGGGGCCCCGGGCTTGGGGTTGGGGGAGGATTATGGGGATGAGGACGGTACCTTATTTAGCCCAATATCGGTACCCTTGAAGGAAAATTCTGCAAAGGATGGAGACCTGCTACACTTGGACTCCCCGTTTCGTATGAAAGAGAAATGGCCAAATGTTGAGGCAATGAGCTGCTGTCACTTTAAATTCCACACTAGGCAGGCTCCAGGATCCTGATGGGAATTTGGAGTCACTGGGTAGTGGGTGACATAGAAAGGGAGAAGTCGGCAATGAGCTCCTTATCCGTGGTTTGACAAGTCTGGGATAGACTCTGCCCTGCTTCTTCATTTGTAATTGTTACAGCATAACAGCACCTTCTGCTGCTGGTGCTTTGGGAGAGGATCTGGGCAAGTTTGCATGGATCCCCTTAAAGGGAAAGGAGAGGGAGTCCTCAGGGACTTGCTCATCCATTACAGTTACACAGGATCTCCAATTCCTACAAATTTCATTTGGGAGGAGCGCTGGGTAATATGGAAGGAGATGGATGGGGCGCTCTCCTAAGACAGACTCCGTTCTCTCTTCCCCGTGTCAGACAGGCTTGGGAAGCCCCAGAGCATGTCTTCCTACACGGAACCTCCTCACGGCTCCCCTGGAGTGCGGAGGATACTGGGAGAAGGCAGAGGGGCAGCGTGTGCGTGCGCGCATGTTTCAGTGCTGACGGAGACCTACAATTTGGGAGCGGGGTGTGGGTGGAGAACTCATGGCAGGGTATGGCAGTAATTGACTTAAACTGCTGTCCTGCTATTTGTACTTCACATCTCTTACTTGGTTCCAACATACTGCCAAGGGCACGGGGGTGGTGGTGGGAAGAATCTCCGTAAGGAAGACAGTTCTGGCCAAGTCCTTCTTTCCTCTTTCCTCCAACTCCTGGGAGGCTCTCTAGGTAAGTCCTTGGCCACCCTGACCAGGTCCTGCTGGGCTGGGACTCTAGGGCCAGCCATTGATTTGATTCCTGGCTGCCTCTTCAAGGCTTGCCCGACTCAGCAAAAAATGCTGAGTTTTACTGCTGTTCATGGCTTCCAGATTCGGCAGCTGTTACTTTTTCAAGGTAAGAGGCAGTGGTTCGGCTCTCAGAAGCAAGGCTAGGGGAGGACAAGGGCTGAGATGCTGGGACACGGCCTCGTGTCTGGCTGGGAAGGGGCCGCTGAAAAGACCTTTTGGGAAAATGAAAGTAGAAATATCCTTGTCTTAGACATTATTTATATGTATGCATATATGTATCTTCTGGGGAGAGAGAAAAGCAGACGTGTATTGGCAGGAACCTGCCCTGGCGGGTGGGTGCCGGTGCTACCTGCAAGCACTTGCAGACACACCGTTCTCTGGCCAGAGGCTGACACCTGAAACTGAAGCCTTTACAGGGCTACAGGGAATCTGCTTCCAGAAACTCAGAGCAGAACAGAGCTTCCAAGTTCATTCTGGATAGGGGTCTGAAGGCAGAGGAGGAGACCCCCCCCCATGTAAGGAACTGCTCCTATTTTTCTCTTTTCAATCCATAGACGATCAAGTCTGAAAGGAATATTAAAGAGCAGACAGGCAGGACTCTGTGGCCCAGAGAGGGAATGAGAATTCCCTCTAGGGAGTTGGTGGTATGCCAGGGCCAGAACCCGCGAAGCCGGACACCCAGGTCATGTGCCACACTGCCCAGGGACTGTATATGGCTCCTCACCCCTGTCCTGCCCCTGCACTCCCACCCAAGACAATCGCTCGTCTTCCATCATCAAACTTCTCATTTTGGAGACACATCTCAAAGCCGCTGTGCTGAAAACGTGACCCTGGGGAGAAAGGGTCTAATGCCTCAGTCACTCTCCTCACTAGACAGACAGACAGACACACACACACACACACACACACACACACATGCACACACAACATGCATCCTTTCTCCAGTGCCTTCAGAGAATTACACACGGGCAGGCATCCAGTCATCCAGTCCTGGCTATGACTGTAGTGCATCTGAACTGTACCTGAGCTCTTTATTAGGGAATGCTTTGCTTTCCACAGAGCCAAGTGTATACCCATCCACTGATGCAAATACTTCCAGCAAATTAATGTCTTCATCTTAATGAGAATCTCACCCTCGTACCTATGACCCATCTCGCAGTCACTGTGGCCTGTGCGGGCACCCATGCATACAGGTGCTCATACAGACGTGTGCATACATAGATCCAGAAACCTTTCCTACTTGCTGTATTCCCCAAAAGGGAATTGCAACCTCCGCACCAATCTGTGTTCCTGTACGTAAAGGCATCACCCACAGGAAGACTGGGACACATAGTCACAGGGAAGGAGAAATGTAAAGCCCTGTGAAAGATGGGTTTTTGAGAAGTCAGAATCAGGCCCACACCGGAGGATGCTCCCGGACTCCTGGATGTGTGTTTTGGGGATTGCAGGAGCACTGACGGAAAAAAAAAACATGGGGGTTTCAGGCCCATCTGCAATAGAGCCTTTTCCAAGCAGGCTTTTCCGAGGCTGGATGGCACTTCAGTTCCCAGAAGGGGGAGCTGTGACTCCATTTCAACTAAAGAGACGGCTTCGAGATTCCAAATCAGCTCCTGGGCCCCTGTTGAGTTTAGATGGCCCAGCTGAGGCTGCAACGTATTTATTTGAAACAGCACAGGTAGGGACCTTAAAAACAGTCTCTACACCCTCTCCTGCTCAGTCCAAATAAAACATCTCGGTGCTTGCAAGAGTTTGTACTCTTGACCACAAAGCCCTCTATTTGTCTGGAAAGGTCTTTGCCCAAGGGGCCTTCAGCTGTACAGAGACATTTTCTGATTTGCATCCTCTGGTCTGTCCCCTCCCAATTCCTTAGACAAAATCACCCATGTGTATCACCCGAACAGGCTACTAAGGTTAGGCATATCCTGCTCTTCTTCTCTCCCTGCATCACACTTGCTGAGTTCCAAAGACAAACAAATTGGCCAATGAATTCCTCGTAATCATGTTAAAGACAAGATGGGAATTGTGTGAAGAGGACAAACCTTCAAAGGTCATTCCCCAAAGCATCCCCCTCATTGTTTTTCATCCTAATCTTTCCGCAAGGAATACCTTTATCTTGTCTCCTTTATTTTTTTCAACGTCAGCATCTACTTTCTAAAATCCCACCCATATTTCAACATCCAGCTCAAATGACCCTTCCAGGAGGTCTTCCCAAAATCTTAGTTTGGAATCAATCTCTTTATCTTCTGTTCTTTTGTGTAATTTTCTCTGAAACTCTGTTTCAACTTGCATCTCTGTTTGTCCTACTTGATAGCTCTGTGGGTATATGTCTAGCTTGCCCTCCTCCATATGGTCTTTTTAGGAGCATTTTTTAATCCCCAAGGACTGACACGTACTCATTGTTCTATTAATGTTTGCTGTTGCTGTTTTCCAGTCTCAGCAGCAGAGGTAATTCCTCTCCCCACACCTCTGTTTCTCTCTGTCTCTTTCCCTCTCTCTCATTGCTTTGTATTCACTCAAAGCGACACAATTATGGCTTCAAAATTGCACCACTGTACCTGCAATACAGGGATATCAGTGATGATACAGACAGGTAAAATTACTTGAAGTGAGCATTTCCTCACTGTGTTACAGCAATTAGTTCTCATTTAATCTTTCTTCTCACCCAGTGAGGCAGATACAGCCCCTTTACGGAAGAGGGTAGTGAAACTCTTGCTGGCTTGTCCCAGGCCTAAGGTCACATAAAGAACAGATGAGACTTGAACCTAAGGCCTTGCTTTGGCATCTCTACTCTTTCCAGTGTACCAATGCCTTAATGGTAACCACTGTGGATGGCGAACAGGATCAGGTTGTTCAATAGATGCCAGGAATAGTCAGGGGCTTATTATTAACTCTTTGGAATTGCTGTTATAAAGGAGTCATAAAGTCATTGAATCAAAAGATCTGTGTTTTCAGGTTTCTCAGTAACAAAACCCTTGTCCTCATTGAATAATCAAGAATCTTTTTTGTAACGTCCGTAACACATAGCCACTCAGTCTCATTTTGAGTACTTTCAGCAACAGCAAACTCAGTATCACACAAACCAGCCTATGTTCTATAGAAAGAGCTTTATTGGAATCTTGACCCTCAATCTGCCTTCTAAGACCTGACGTCACCCAACACTAGTATAATTCTCTCCCAAATGCCAGCTCTTCGTGTATTGTGGAAGCATGATTGCATTCCCAGGAGTATTCTTGTTTAGACTACATGGGGCCATTTTCACAGCCTCATCTCCTGTACCATTCGGCCCCTGACTAAGCTGGGTATTGTCTTATGGACACTTTCTAGTTTGTCTGAGTTATAGGGTTTAGAGACCACAAACGTGGGGGGGGTGTGGCCTGAAATTGAGAGATTACAGACAGTCATCCATTCATTCACTTATTCAACAAATATGGGGTTCTCAGTATTTTTCAATTATTGCTCTAGAT